ATAGGCTGCGTTAGATAATAATACTTTTGGAAAGCATGAAAAATCCTACGTCTTTCTGGCATTATTTTCAAATTTCCCATAAAACAATTAAACCTTAGCCCATCAACTAACAAAACACTAATTTTCTTGAATACGGTATGAAGAAACTATGACTTTACTATAGCCTTGTTTTGACAAAATCATGTAATCCGAAAATCGCAATTATGCGCCAAAGTTCTACTTTTCAAATCCTGACTACTGGTTCACTGATTCCACAAGTACTACACTTTGTAGAATGAATTATTCCCTGCGTTGCAAGATAAAATTTGCCAGAATAACATAATAATTCAAGTAGGTCGAACTCAGGAACCGAAGAGTAGAAAAAGTAGTTGTGCTAAGTTCTTTTAACCCAGAACTATGACCGGTTTGAAGTGTTGCGAAACACGATAGCTTCAATCATCAGCCATGTTCTTGCAAAATACACTTTATTTAAATATTTGATAACATTCATTTGCTATGAAACCGACTTTGTTGTCCAAAAAGAACACCAGCCAATTACTGTTCGTAAATCGTTATCAGATATGCACCAACCCACGTATTTTATTGTCATTATCTGAGCAATTAGCTCAATTGACAAGGCTGATAAGAAGCGAACATTAAAAAATTCTGATGACCTTCCATTTTGCGAAAACAAATGTCTAGTCAAAGAGATATAAATACTTACTGCAAGCTATGTCATAAAAAGGGCATTTCCTTGACGGCACCCAAAGGTTGGAAGAACCCGTGTCGAAAATTACGGTAAAGTTCTGAGCAGGGGTTCCAATTTGAATGGTGCCAAAGTACTGTGCCTAAACAGAAGAAATCTTCAGCAGTGAAAATGTAAAAAGGTTATCAACTACTCACATCCATGTAATTGCGAAGGAGTTCGTCAATCTCATTCGCAGACTGCAGCTTTGAAGCTTTGTTTGCAGCATACTTTGCCAGAAGTTTCTTTTGGTAATGGTAACGTTGTTTCTGGTAGTCTTCCCAGCTGCCAGCGCTCAGTAGCCTTTCACGAAGTGTTGGTTGACGCGAGAGCGATACCCTAGATATGACTCATCTTGCATGAGTTCAACCGAAAAACCGCGTTTTGAATTCTCGTGGTCATGCTCTAACGCAGTAGCCCTCGTGTTTACAGCAAACAGGTGTCTTTCTTATTCCTTGGCCGCTAGCATATGCTCCTGTTTACCTCGAAAATGGCTAAAAAGTAGGGCTTGGTAGACTATTGCGAAATATAGAGGAAAATTTTTCAAAAATT